TATCATCGCACCACCTACTACTACCCTAAAGCTGACTGGGATTCCTTTCGTGATTTTCTTCGTGATGGTCCTTGGGCTGATGTTTTTTCTCTCTCAGCTGACAAATGTGCCTCCTACGTAACCTCCTGGATTCAGGCTGGAATGGAAGCTTTTATTGCTTCTCGTCGGTTTCAAGTCAAGCCTCATTCTACTCCATGGTTTTCTCCTTCTTGTGCGGCTGCTATATCCAATCGTAACCATTTTTTTCATCTTTTTCAAAAGAACAACTCTCTTGAGAACAAACGGCTATTTATTATTGCAAGAAATCGATGTAAAAAGGTGCTTTCTGATGCTAAACTCCATTATTCTCAGTTCACTAAATCTCGCATCTTATCGCAGAAGTTAGGCTCTAAAGACTTTTGGAAAATCTTCAACAGCATTGTTAACAAGGGTAGATCTAACATTCCATCTCTCATTCATGGGATTGATCTTGTTACCTCTCCCAGGGATAAGGCAGAACTGTTTGCAAAGAACTTTTCTTCTAATTCCACTCTTGAATCTTATGGACATTCTCTTCCTTCCATTCCAGTCAAACAGGTTGACCCATTGTTAGACATTCAAATCACTCCGGCTTCTGTTGCTAAAGTCATATCTCAATTAAACTCGTCTACAGCTTGTGGTCCAGACAACATTCCTGTCACAGTCTTGCAGAATTGTTCTCCAGAACTTTCTTCAATTCTCTCTAAACTATTTAACAAGTGTTTGACTGAGTCTTGTTTTCCTGCTTGTTGGAAAATGGCATCTGTGGTTCCAATATTCAAAAACTCTGGAGAAAATTCTGACCCCTCCAATTATCGTCCGATCAGTCTTCTTTCTGTTATTAGCAAGGTCTTTGAGTCTTTAATCAACAAATTCCTCACATCTCATCTTGAGTCAAATAAACTGCTGTCAGACAATCAATACGGTTTTCGATCCTCTCGCTCTACGGCCGACTTGCTAACTGCTGTAACTGAAAGATTTTATCGTGCATTAGATGGAGGCGGTGAGGCTAGGGCTATTGCTCTCGACATATCTAAAGCTTTCGACAAAGTTTGGCATGCTGGTCTTCTCCATAAGCTTGCTTCATATGGTGTTTCTGGGAAAGTTTTTGAGATTATCAAATCATTTCTTTCTGACCGGTTTATTAAAGTCATCCTTGAAGGCCAACACTCTTCTTTATTTCCAGTAACTTCTGGGGTTCCCCAAGGTTCCATCCTGGGCCCTGTTTTGTTTCTTATCTACATAAACGATCTTCCTGACAACCTTTCATCTAAAGTAGCTCTTTTTGCTGATGACTCAACTTTATACTCCTGTCTTGACAAAAAGTCTTCTCTTTTCGATCGCCTAGAACAAGCAGCTGATCTTAAATCTGATCTCACTTCAGTAATAGATTGGGGTTCACAGTGGCTTGTGAATTTCAACTCTAACAAAACCCAATTGCTTACTGCAAACAACTACCGAAATATGGTCAACATTCCTATATTAATGAATGGCAATCCTCTTACTGAGTCGTCCTCTTTACGTCTTCTTGGATTATCGCTTAATACTGACCTTTCATGGAAACCATATATACAATCGATTGCTAAATTAGCTTCTGCTAAGGTTGCTTCTCTTTATCGTGCTCGCCATTTCCTTACTTCTGATTCCATTCTCTACCTCTACAAATCTCTTATTCGTCCCTGTATGGAATACTGTTGTCATATTTGGGCTGGTTCTTCTAACGATTCACTCTCTCTTCTTGACAAGGTCCAAAAACGCATTGTAAATGTTGTTGGACCTGGACTATCTGCTAAGCTTGAACCTCTTTCCCATCGTCGTAAAGTTGCATCTCTTTCTCTTTTCTACAGATACTATCATGGTCACTGCTCAAAGGATTTATCATCTCTAGTTCCATCAACTAAAATTCATTCTCGTTTTACTCGTCATTCAGCTAAGTCTCATTCGTTTTCTGTATCTGTGCCTGCATGCTCTAAAAACTTTTATTCATCTAGTTTTTTTCCCCGCACTTCAATCCTTTGGAACTCTCTCCCATCTTCATGTTTTCCTGACTCATACAACCTTCAACTTTTTAAGTCTTCTGTCAACCGTTTCCTTGCTCTATAACTCTGTTTTTTTTTTTTCCTAGTAACTCCCAACTTAATAGTGGTTGCTTGCAGCCTTGTTGGGAGTGAATGCAAATAAAAAAAAAAAAAATATTTATATATTTAGTATTTTTACCAAATAATTTTTTTTGCGATATGAAGCCAGCCTGTAGATGAATTATAGTGATATGTTTTTTGCCAACGTGTTTTGTTTTTAATTTATACAAATTGCATTACATGTTTCATTTTTGTTTTTGTTAACAGATCATGCTGTATCAATTCTAACAAAAAGGTTTTTAAAAGTGTGTTTCAGTTTCCCTTGAATTGTTATATAATAAGTATTATATTTATTTAATATATTTATATAGTTTTAATAGCTTTTTAGAGAGACATCTGTAAAGGAAAAAGCTATTGGAAAAACATGGAAAGCGTTTTGGCCGTACTTCGATCAAGAAATAGAACATTAATCAATGATAAATCAATCACCCACCCATTTTCATATTTAGATTTAGCTTCCTTTAAGTTAAATCAACAAGGGTATCTGATTGAAAGAAAAGTTTGGGTTAGGCCGAAAAGTTCTCAATGGTTTAATGAGATTTTTACTCAAATGGAGGAATGTGAATTTAAAGAGCATTTTCGAGTAAATCGTAACACATTTAATTTTCTAGTTAATGAATTGCATCCACATTTAGGCAAAACTACCACAACAATGCGAGAACCTATTTCAGTAGTAAAACGTGTTGCAGTTGCATTACATTATCTAGCTTTATGTGAAGAGTATCGTGTTGTGTCTAGCCTTTTTGGCATAGGAGAGTCAACAGCAAATTTAATTGTTCATGAATTTATTAATGCTGTTAATGACATTTTGCTCCCTAAATATGTTAAATTTCCATTGTCAGTGGAAAATTTAAATAAACATATTGGTTTTCCACAATGCGTTGGAGCTGTTGATGGATGCCACATCCCTATTTTAGCCCCTAAAGATCAAGCAATTTCTTATTATAATTATAAAGAGTGGTATTCCATTGTACTTTTTGCCTTTGTAGACTGTCGATACCGTTTCATTTATACAAGTGTTGGATCGCCTGGTAGAAATAATGACAGCTATATTTTGCAGAATTCTTCTTTGAAAGCAATTTTAGAATCAAATATATTTGATAAATGTTGTAATGAGCTGGGCGATTCTCTTGTTCCGCTATGTTTGATAGGTGATTCAGCATTTCCTTTATCGCGTCATTTGTTAAAACCTTATCCTGAAAATTTGGAGCTTAGCAAAATTTAAAAAAATTTCAATAAAATACTTTGCGGTGCTAGAAGAGTAGTTGAGAATGCTTTTGGGTGCGTTAGAGCTCGATTCCGTGTAATTTGGAAACGAATGGAATGCGATATTAACTTTGCTAAAAGAATTGTTAATGCTTGCGTCGCTCTTCACAACATATGTGAATATTAGGACGATATTGTAATAGAATGGCTGATGCATCATCATGATGACAGTCTAGCTCAACCCAATACAGTTTCTACAACTGGGAACAATGGATCAGGAAAAAATGTTCGTGACTCAATTGCTAAATACCTTTATGAAAGGGACAAGTAAAGTAGTAATAATATTATTTATTATTTAAAGCTTTAGCTGTAATATGGTTATGTATTTAGTAGTTTTGAACTAAACTTGCTTTCCTTGAGGTTATCAAATGTGTCTAACTGAATAAATATTAAATATGTATGAACACAAAATGAGATTAGTTTTAACTGGTCGTGGGTAACTTATTAATGTATAATATGTTTATTCGGTACTATACCACTGATGGACTACTATTCCGTGTCGTCAAAAGCGATTAAAAGAGATATAACCTAAAAACTGTAAAGTACGTACGTCAAACATTATAAAATTTGATCCTCCCCCTCCCCCTACTCCTATGCGTATTTTTAAGTCCCTACCCCCTTTAAAAGAACTTAAAAAGTCTTTAAGTATATATACAAATATTATTTTAATAAAGTTAAACTCCCATCATTATGGGAGTTTAACTTTATTAAAATAATATTTGTATATATATTTAAAGACTTTTTAAGTTCTTTTAAAGGGGGTAGGGACTTAAAAATACGCATAGGAGTAGGGGGAGGGGGAGGATCAAATTTTATAATGTTTGACGTACGTACTTTATGAACGACCACTTATCTGTTCATAAATACTTTAGGATGTATCAAATCTATCATCAAATCAACCCATACCTGCCCCACTTTACCTCAATTGCACGGTTCCTCTAAAATCAAAAATATACATACTTTATAATTACCTGCTGTCAAAGAGAATTAGGTCCGGAATTTTTCTTTATTTTTTAAAACTTGTTTGGTGCAGTACATACATTATATAAAAAAGATATTAAAATTATTCTAGAAATATTTTTTATGCTCCACTTCTATTATTTACCATTAATATGTGCACACTTTGATATTACGTAAAATATTGCTTTGAAGAAGAAAAAAAAGATTAAATGCAATAAATATCTTTAAAACAGAAACCAAAACAGTTTTACTGACATAAGTGGTTCGAATTTTTAAAACTTCATTGCTTCATACTTTAAAAAGTTACGCACGAACGTAGGAAAACAAATTTATAAATAGCGCGCATTTTTTTAAACCGGGCTGTTTTTTGCAATTAAAATATAGAAATGAAAGCACAAAACATTTTTTGTCATGATTTTATTTATCCAATTAAATTTTTAAAGCAGTTTAAACATTTAGTTCATTTATATAAAAGAGGCATAGTTCTTTTATATATAAGGCGGCCCTGCATCAATGTCTACCCGGGCCCCTAAATTCCAGTCCGACCCTGTTTATAAGCAAAAAATTCTAAACACAATTTTATTGTTATAAGATAAAAAAAAGCTTGTTACGACTTACCCATATCTTTCACTAATTTTTTCATTGGCAAGTCACCAATTTGTTCAATTAATTTTGTATTTGTACATGATTTATAAAACACGGCAGCTTTATCCAAAATCGGCGTCTAAAATTGTTTAAAAGTTTTAATATAAGTTTTTTTCGAGTACGAAAAGAGAGCTACTTGTAAAGTAATTCATATGAAAACTTTAAAAAAACTGAACAATTTTTATTTATATTAAAAGTTAAAATTAAAAGTTAAAAGTAAAAAGAAAAACAGCTATAAAGTGGCCCGGCACAAATCCAAACGCAGTGCTTATGCAAAAATATTCATTTTTTGGCGCAGGATTCTTCAAAAACTAACTAAAAGATTCTTCTAAAATATCTTCAATATAAAATAAACTCATATAACAACACTATTTGATAAATATTCTTTCCGAAAAATTGACGGTTTCAGAAAATAACTCTGATTTCTGAAAAAAAAAATTTTGATAATTTTTTTGAACTTTTTAACTTAAAAAATATCCCATTTATCCATTAGACTAATGTTGTAAAAGTTAAAAATTTTAATTAAAGATTATACAAAGATATTATTATTTTTTAATATTCAAAAATATCCCATTTTAAGAAACTTTAAACTTTAACAAGCGATTCAAATAAACATCAACCTGATATATTTTAGAAAATGTTGAGCAAATTTAGCAGAACCTCAAACAAGTGCTTTTATACCTTCAGTAGCATCATTGTTAACATTCCTGCCTGTGCCCTGAGTAACCACACATCTGGAAAGTCAAAACTCAGTGAAAGGCATTAGCTTTTAGTGAAAAAAAAAATTGTATTTTGATTAGAATGTGCATCCAATTTTGTACGAAATCCATTAGTCCCTGTTTTTACCGAGAGTCCTCAGTCCCACCCATCATAAAATTGTTTGGACTCCGAGATTTTCCTAGTTTTATATTAGCATATAAACATTTTCTAACGAAACCTCGTTAACTTCTAAAAGTTTATTAATTTAAATTTGTTTAGCAACAGCTACGAGGGTTTCCCATACGCTGCGTATGGGAAACCCTCCGACATATAAATTATTTTATTATATGGCATGAACTTTTTGTCCATTTAGAAGTAATTTTTCATACCATTTGAAACTAAAACTTCGGCTGCCTGCAACTGATCTTGTAGTTGTATAACATTCTATTTCGTCTTGTAGAGGCCCAAATCATATCTAAATTTTTTAGTAATTTGAGGCTAAGTGGCTGCATGCAAGTACTTTAAAAACGTTTGATTGAACATTTTGATTGAACATATTGGATTGCAATTTTTTATGAACTAATGTCGTAATTGATTAAATAAAGTGAAAAGCAAAACTAACATTTTTTTTCATTTTTTGTTAATTAAAAAAATAAAAATACAGTCAGCTATAAGAAGATAATTTGATTTTAAACTTAATAACTTTCTTATTGTTAGGCATTCACTTTCGGAATGATTTTGCAAATCTTTTTTCAAATTAAAAATAGAATTAAAAGTTTTAAAAAGTACTAAAAAGAAAAAAGTTAATAAAAACATAAGTTTTTTAATTAACAAAGTTGTAAATTTATGTTTAGATAAAATAGAGTAAACTGGGTATGTTAAAATAGAGTGAACTGGGTATGATAAAATAGAGTGAACTGGGTATGATAAAATAGAGTGAACTGGGTTTGAGTAAACGGTTTAGCTTCAAAATCAATAATCTTTGTTAAAGAGAAAATTCGTTATAGCTTTTTTTTACAGAGAATTTTTTACATTATATAAGTACATAAAAATTAAGAAAAAATATTGAAATATTGGAAAAAAACATTTACTTTTCTCTGTATAAATGTGGAAAAGTAAACTAGTTAAATTTTATTAACATTTAATTTACTAATTAATTTCCATTAAATATTAATTAATAAAGATTAAGATATTAGGAAAATCAAGCTAAATTAATTTAAAAAAAAAAAGAGAAGAAATTAATCAAATATTCAAAAAAAAACTGTTAATTAAATAAGTTTGAGTTTTTTCATGGTCAGAAGCAGGTCCGCGGCATTTTTTCATGCAAAAAAACTCTTCACCAATTTTGTATTTTTTGGGTAAACATGATCGGCAAACCCAAGACTTTCGACTAAAGCTTCACATTGGTACCACATATTGATTTGAGTTAGCAATGTTTCTTCCCAAAGTCAATCTTGAGTTTCTTTAATTGCTTTGACTATTTGACCTCATCGTCTTGCTCTTGTTTGTCGAGCACCTCAGATGTACTTAAACACTGTCCTTCAACTCTTGGAATATTGACTCTTTTTGATTTTTTTTTATTTCAACATGATGGCGCTGTAAAACATTTTTCAAATGCCTTTGAGTCTTTCAGTAAAGTGTTGCAACATTTGATACGTTTGAGCAGGAGTCACTAGTGTTGTCGTTAAATTTTGAAGTTGGTAAATTGTTGGAGTTTTACACCGACTAATGCTAAATTATGATATAAGCTCGGATGAAGATAGAGACTCGGATGAAAATGATGAAGCAGGCTGAAGTAGTGTTTGAAATGTTTGAGCAATTTGTAATTTTAATTGATCAAATTTACTAATACCAAGTAGAAAAAAACAGTATTTTGAAATCCAGAAATTATTTATGTTTATGTAAATGCGTCACTGGTGATAAAAGGTTTTGCTTGCAGTTAAATAAAATTTTCCTTTGTTAAGTTGTTGAAAGTTGTTACGGCATAATATACTGTAAGTAATTTGCGCCAAACTCGTTTAACGTAATAATATACATCTATGTTTAACGGTTGAAGTATGTGAGACAAATGAGCCAGTAAACATATTAGCCTGATGATATTGTCAATGCAAATACGTGCAAAATTGTAAGTAACAAGTGTGACGTGTCCGTCCAAGGCTATAATGTGAATACATGTAATTTATTTTTCGCTCATAATTTTTTACGAAACTACGAAATTCCATTTTGAAAAGAGAGTCTTGTTCTTAATAGAATTTTCTACAAAATAGCTTTTTTGAGTTTAGTAAAATTTAATTTTAGTTTTGAGAGTTTTAAAATTGATTTTTAAAACCCTATTTAAAGTTTGCTTTAGATTTTTAAAACCCTATTTAAAGGCAAAAATACATTTTTAAAATAATTTTTACACCTTTATATAGAGGACAAAATTCTCGACAATAAGGTACATTTTTAAAAATTTTATGTTTTCGCTTTCTATAAATGCAATATAAACAAAATCGCTGAACTGTTCACTTTTTTTTTTCATTTACTTTTACTCCAGTTTAGTCTATTATATAAAATTCAGAAAACAATTCGAAAAAACCCTTCAGTAAGTCTGAGGGTATTATAATGAAATCTGTCATTTCAAAAACGACCCCAGTCCAAGTCTAACTTAAAATTTAACAAAAAAAAAGTTGTTTTTTCATAAAAAAAGAAACTAAACATACGAGTAGATTAATAAAAAAACCTATAATTTTTATATGTTTTATTTATTATATAAAAAAACAAACAAATAGATAATTAAGAAGTTTTTTTTTGACAGCAAATTAAAAAGTTATTAACTTCATCGTCTAGAAAAAAATTAGTTATATATTACAAAACTTCAGAATCAAATCAAAAAAAATTTCAAACCAGAAAAAAATTAGTTATATAGTTGACTAAAAACAAATATTGACGAAAATTTGTGAAGCCCTTTCGATTTCTAAAATGATTCTGATTAGTAAATTATAAATTTGATAAAGAACTGATAAAATTTGATCCTAAACCACTTCCCAGAAGGCACAAGACGTATTTTAGACGTTTTGAATATGTTTATTTTTATTGTATCATAATTTCTATTAAATTTTTTAATTTTGAAAATTGCAAATCAAATTTTTAGAGAATAGATCAAATTAAATAAAGTTTTTCAACTTACAACAGATTTTGTTTCTTTTGATATTAGTTGATTCAAAATTTGTTTCAAAACTTCTGAGTTTTGTTCTGCAAGCTCATCAAATCTGCTGTACCTTGTACGAGAATCAGGAACTGGAACACTTTTGAGCCAGCCTCCGCAAGCATATTCATAAAAATCTTTGCATGGATCAACCTCACTGTCCATGACGTCAATAATCTCTATAATAATAAAAAAAAAACTTTTGTAAATTTTTTTGAATTAGAAAAAAAAATTTTTTTACAAGAAGCTTGGTAACTAAACTGTAACTACTATCCGAGCCGCCTGAATTATTAGGTCAATTGGTCTTTGGTTTAGGTGGTACAGCTGTATTTAATTTTTATTTGGAACAATCACGCTTTACATTAGGTGGCCCAACTATTTTTAATGTAAATTTAAGCCAGCTGTTATACTATGTTAGTTGAAGCAATTGTACTGGATTTGCTGTTAGACCAACTTTATTTTACCGTTAGTTAGCCAAATAAAGAAACACCGTATTTACTGCGCTAATATATTTAAGAAAAAGTTGTTGTACCGCAAATATTTTTCTGTATTTGTCCATTTTCTCTATGCTATCTTTCAAACTCGACTTCTTTTAACTTTCTCTCTATAATCCTTCGTTCTTCTTAAAATCACTTACTTTTGGTCTGAGTTGTGGGTTACGATGCTCTTTAGTGAGCTGAACTCGTCTTCGCATGCCATAGTATGAGGCCTCTATATGGCAATTAGCCGAAAGAAGATAAACCCACAATCAATACCAAAATATATTATTGTAAACTTTTTAAGATACACTTTAATTGCGGCAATTCTCTTAATTTATTTCATGTTTTTTCTATTTTTTGTGTTTGTTATTTTTGTATTTGATTTACGTCTGTATTTATGTGTATATAATGTATTTGGTATGATGTGATGTACTTGATGAATATCTTTGCAAACAATATAGATTTTTAAATGCCATTTTACGTATCCGTGTAAAATTACAAGGCCGATAGTGTGGCATTTAGCCCGATGACGAAATAAAGCAGATTACTATTACAATCACCGTACAACTTAATTACAATACTACTTTTTGGTATGAAATAAATCTTGCAAGCAGAACCGTTAATAAGGATTAATAGCAGAAAATCGCTTTAATAATATTTAAGAAGAAGCAATTTTTTTAGTAGATGTATTTTTAACTTACTGTTAACTTTTTCAAGCTTTTCTTCTCTTTTTTATTTAGCTAAGTATACAAATCTTTGTTTTTCTAAAACATATCTGCGGTTGTTTTTTAAAACCTTTCAAGATTTTTTAAAACTTTTTTCGTGAAAAAAAGCAATTATAAAAAAACAATAAGAGAAATTGTTTGTAAAACGTTTATTGAATAACATTTGTAGGCATCTAGATTAGCTTTTTTTTTGTAAAAAAGTCAAATTTGATTTTTTTTTTTACCTTTAGACATTTTAAAAAAGACCTGCAAATATACTTTTGAACCGTGACCACTGTTTATGACGCTTTATTTGGAGAAATGCCTGTTTTAGTGGATTGGGCATGTGGTTCTTATAAATCAATGAGCAGGAGAAGAATAAACCACTATGCGACATGGTAAATTTATAACACCAGAATTAGCTAGTATTAAAAGTTATAGTTTTATTTGGTTTTTTTTTTGTTCGTTACTTGATAACACCGTAAAGCTTTGTAATTTATAGTACTCCACTACAACAACGGTGGATTAATGTATTGCTAATCTAGCAATACATAAACGGCGCTAACGTTGATCCGACGAACAGCTATTTTTATGTCACCGTAACATAGCCATTAAACAACGTTGAACCATCTAAAACTAAATATTCAAAATGATTCAGCCTAATATCTAGAAAAACATCGTAAAGCAAATGAGAAGTCAATTATATTTAAACTTATGGCCATCTATTACGGTTTGTTGGCCCAAAAACAATAAACCATTTAACTTTTGCGAAACTATATTGTGAAACCATATACTTAATGCAAATCTCTAGTATTCTTAAAAACTTAATTTACTTACCTCAAATATTTAGAATCATATTTAACTTACTTGAAGCAATTTGAACACATTCTTTAGTATTGCACACTTCATCTTTCAGATCCTGTTCACTATGTCCTTTGCTAACATTTGGAACCAAGACCGGTTCTTTTTTTTTTTGCATTGAAATATATAGCGCACCCAAAATTGTTAGTAATACAACAAGAAGCAACACCACGACAACTAAAATTCTTAACAAATGAGATTTACTTTTTAACGAAGAAGTTGTTTTAAAAGCAGTATCGTTTATAATAAAATTGTTACGTTCTTCATCGGAATGCTGATGTTTTAATGGACTTTTTACTTCGTAACCTTGCGAACTCATGTTTATTTTTGTTTTTTTAAATAGATGAAACGCTAAATAACATAAATAAAATTTCGTTGTTTCATTATTTATTATAAGTTAAAACAAAGCACACTTATTAAAACATAACATGGGGAGTGAATTCTCAAAAGATGCTTTTAAAAGGTCCGACTATAATGGTTCGGAAAAAATTGACGAAAAACTGGACGACTTAAAGGCGCGCAAACACTAAAATTGATATTTTCTCTTTCTGTTATTTGGACCAAGACTCTATTATTAGATCTTATATTTAAATAGATGAAAGATTTCAATATATAAAATTTGGAAATGGAATATAAAATTAAATTTTTATTTTTGCGACTTTTTGCATCTTTTGAAAATTCTGCTCATATAATTTAATTTTCTATTACATAAATACTAAAGACAGGTTTTGAAAAAACAACATTATCAATGTCAACTATAATATAAAATATGGTCAAACCAAACCAATCAAAACTTCTGCATTTAATATTTAAGTATTTAAATCTAACGCATTAAAAAACAGGAGCATTGAGGGGTATTAAGTCTTGTTTTGGATTTCGGTTTCTTAAACATACAATTTAAAATGCAATGAATTTATTGGTGTATATTGTTTAATTAACTGTATTTCTTAACACTAACTTTATAAAAAATTTTACTACACAGTTTAAACTTATTTTTCATGTGTTGCTGTAAACATATATTGAGATTGTTAAAATTACATTACATTAAGTTATTTAAAACAATTTTTAATTTCTCATCCAATACATTACAAATGTCTATTAAATGTATGTATGTATGTATGTATGTATGTATGTATGTATGTATGTATGTATGTATGTATGTATGTATGTATGTATGTATGTATGTATGTATGTATGTATGTATGTATGTATGTATGTATGTATGTATGTATGTATGCATATATGTATGTAAGTATGTATGTATGTATGTATGTATGTATGTATGTATGTATGTATGTATGTATGTATGTATGTATGTATGTATGTATGTATGTATGTATGTATGTATGTATGTATGTATGTATGTATGCTATATAAAAAATTTAAAAACTTTTAAAACCTTTAACTATGATATTTAATTTGATATTTTACTACATAGCTTCTTGACTTTCAAGACGAGACCATTCTCGTATTAAGTATCAAGCTTTAAACAATTCATCCATTTTTAGTTTGACAATGTATTTATGGCTTGAGTTTATCTAAAAACTTTATACAGCTTAAAAACTTTTTCTAAATTGTAAGATTTATATGATTGATCATTTCCTCTTTAGCGATTTATTTCAACTTCTTAAGAAACAATTTCCTTTAACTTTATTTAAAAATCACATACTAATGATAAAAAAACACATAACAATCAACAGTAATGTTTCCTTCTAAACATTAACTCCATTTGCAAATAATTTAAGAAACAATTTTAATTAAAAATCAATAATAAGAAATAAAAAATTTATTTTTATTCAATAGTTTTCTTTAATAATTTAAATTAAAACTTGAATAAACTCAAAAGAATTTAAATGTATTTATTTATTCAACTAACTTTGTCTTTTTCTACAAAACCTATCGTTTATTACTCCCTCTTCACCCTTTTTTTAGTTACCATTTTGTTGGCTCAGAGCAAAAAGGTTTTTGCATAATGGTGAAAACACGATATTTTGATATTTGGCACCAAATTTGTAACAAGTATCAAAAAATTTTGGATTCAAATTGGTTTATGAAAAACATCTCAACTTTCAAACCGCGTTTCTCTGGTTCGCAAAAATGTCACCTACAACCTTGTTGCTCTGAGCCCGCAATTTTTACAGAAAAAATTTGTAAAAAAAAAAAAAAATTACCACATAAGAATTACATAAACAAGACACAAAGATCATCTCATCAAAGCTACCTTAGTAACAAGATAAAATTAAGAATATATTATAATTTATTTAACATTATTATAATTTTAAACATGTGGTGTTAATTGATTCTTATTCATAGTCATATAAAGGTTCTTTGAAACGACTTTGGTTTCTTCTGAGAAACGGTTGTGTCCAGGTCAATGGCTGGAGTTATTATCTTGAAGAGGTCATTTACTTGTCTTCTGTATTTGTTCCTATTTTTATTTTTTAAAAAAGCAATTATAAAATCTGTAGTAAAAAATAACCAATTCATTAAATTTCTATTTGTACCAACTCATGATGACAGGTAGAGTTTTATTAAACCCTTGATGTCAAGTAGAAACTACTTCCCTTTTTTAATTGATTGACGCAACTTTTGTTTTAACTTTCAGAGAAATAGTTTGTTGACTTAACAAATAGCAGAGTTGTTAATTTTATAAACAACAGTTTTCCGAATTTTTTTAAATAGATAAAAAATATGGATAAAAAACAAACAAAAAGACAAAATAAATTAACTATATGTAAACTTTGAAGCCTGAGTAGAAAAAAAACAAACAAATTATTTCCCCCTCAAATCAAATAAGAGAGAAATAAATCAAAAATATTATCTTAATTTTCTAAATCTAAACTTATCAAACGAGGTCAAATTTCATAATAAACCTTCTCGTGTTCAAAATTTTATATTTTTATAACTTTTGTATCTTTAATGACTTTAATTTGTATTTTAGCAGTAAAATTTACTAAAACTCATGTTCTATCTAATATAAATATTTTTTACATAAAAACTGCAGTTATTTATTAGGTTCATTCAGTTGTTACTCTGGGGTGTTAGATAAACAGATGGAAGGAGTGGTTGTACTATATAGGACTATTTCGATCATTTTAAAAACAAAATACAATATACAAATGGATTGAACTTAAGGCAATTCTGTAAAATGAAAAAATACAAAGCTTTAAAGTTATTTACAAGAAGTGAGGGCGGTAAAAGAGATGCTCCAATAAAGATCCGATGGGATAATGAAAAAATATAAAAAAATAAAAAACGGGCTTTTAGTTGGCCTTTCATATTACTTTTTTTAATTAAAGTACATTATAAATTTTTTTTTTTTTTTTTTGTATAAACTTACTCTGGTACTTTTATAAAAATTATAATAAAACTCAACTTCTTACAAACGCAAGATATTTTATTATTAGAGCGATCAACAATTTCGATTTTTTATAGGTTAACAGAAAAAAATATAGGTTATAAAAGTATTTTCCTTAATTTCATTTTAATTTTTATTTTTATTAATTATTTTGTTTATTTTTATTTTATTTATTACTGGCTTTCTTAATTTTAAAAATAAATTACTTAGGTGTATACTATATTTGAATTTTGCTCATCAAAATCGTAAAAAAACCCGCAAATTTATAACGATAAACCCATAATAATACTTCAGAAAATTATATGTACCCGTCCGTTGCATATTTTCAATTATCCAAATGCTATAATTTAAGTTTGAAAATGTTTTGCTCGTTAAATAGCAAAGTATTTTTTTTGTCTCCAATTTTATAAATAATAATTTTATAAAAACCATTTTTGTAAATTTTCATATATTTTCTATAAACTATCTAAACAAAATGTGGTATTTAAAAGCGTTATGTATTATTTATGTTCGGATGTATTATTAATAAACTATTTTTATTATATCTAATGAATCTTCAATGCAAGTAACCACTAGCAAAAGGGAGTTTATAAAATTAAAACCGTATTATTTAAGCATATTCACTTTTTTATATGATAATTTTAAATTATAAACTTTCTAATAAAAAAATTAAGTTTCATTATAAATTCAAATCTGAGTTGCGCATAAAACTCAAATTTAGATTTTAAATTTCATTAATTTCAAACATTAAAGGGAACAGATTTATTTAAAATAGTAAAAAGTTACTCTCGTAGTTTGAGGTTAGGGTGCAACTGAGGTTAGCCTACAACTTAATGTTCAAAAAATACAATCATACAAAATTTACACCACTTTCTTTTTGGTGCATTATGGAATTTAATAAAGACCTTAAACACACAACAAAAACTACTGCTTAGAATATCATATAACAAAAACTATTTGATTAATATAAATTATTTGGAGTGACAATTCAGATAAAAATATCTTTTTTAATTGACTAAAAATGTTGTTTAAACCACTTCTTCATCGCAACTCATATCTGAAAATTTGGAAGTATTTTTTTTTTCTTCACCGCAATATTTTAGTTCTTTACGATTAGACTGATTCTGTGATTGTGCTTTTAGATTGATCAAAAATTTTATATAACGCTCATTGGTGCTGTTTTTACTCCAGATTATTTGAAATTGAAGTTTTACATTGAACAATCATTAGTCACTAAGCTCGTTACCTGTAAACATGTTTTACAGGTAATGAGTTTAAACTGTTCCAATTTTTTTGAACTTTTCAAAATTTATTGTAAAAGCGATTTATAAATTTAGAGTTATTGTTTTTATTTGATCGTACTCAAATGTTATTATTTCATAAATTGGTTATGGATTATAGAATGTTTTTAAAAGAGTTACTTAAACAAAACAATTAGGCAGTTAAAAAATCAAAATGTAATTTATAAATTTTTTTTTGAATTCATTTTTTATTTAAACAGAAAAAAAATGAAATACAATGTACTTTGTAAATTTTAAACAGAAAAAAATGAACTAAAATGTATTTTGTAAACTTTAAACAGAAAAAAATAAAATAAAATGTACTTGGTAAATTTTAAACAAAAAAAAAATGAAATAAAATGTATTTTGTAAATTTTAAACAGAAAAAAATGAACTAAAATGTATTTTGTAAACTTTAAACAGAAAAAAATGAAATAAAATGTATTTTGAAATTTTAAACAGAAAAAAATGAAATAAAATGTATTTTGTAAATTTTAAACAGAAAAAAATGAAACAAAATGTATTTTGTAAATTTTAAACAGAAAAAAAGGATATAAAAAAGTTAAACAATATTAGAATTATAGTTACAAGATTGACAAAAAATCAAAAACTTTTTATTTACAAAACTATCAGTGCATAAACTACCTTACTCATAACACTATCTGGATCTAAACTATTGACAACACCTTATTACATCTGAAT